CAGTTTATTTTTAGTGAACAGCAGTCTGTGCAGAGACTGTCAACGTGATAACACTTTAGTACAGTTTGGTCTGCGTTCCAGGTACTGTACCTGTGTGGGAGTGAAGAGACTGAGCCTGGATTGTGTTTATCACAGTGTTTACACAAAATACTTTTTATTTTTTAAAATGTTACCAGATTTTTTTTTTGTAGTTCAAAACCAAACTTTTTTCCCTTCTGAGATGAAAGTTACAAAACATGAAGTCATGTCAGGATCTCTCTTTAAATGCAGCAGGGAGCCCCATGATACCTCCCAGTTACTGAATAATGCATCTTCCTGATGAACCGCCGTCCTCTGCTGTGTGTTTTCAGGGTTGGAGTCTCTTCGAGACAGTGCCCACTCGACGCCTGTGCGCTCCGTCTCCCATGGCGACTCCTTCATGTCTTCTCGAGGCCAGATGGTGGATGGCAGCGAGGCGAGCACGTCAGCAGTCATCTCCGACGAGGCCTACAGCCCCTCAGACAGCGTGCTGCCTACACCAGTGGCAGAACACGGGATGGAACCTTTGGCCCGTCACCTCAACGGCGCTCCCTGCAGCATCGACGAGGAGAAGGATTCAGAGGCGGGGACGTCGAAGGAGGGGCAGGCGGCTGAGTTTGGGCCTGGCAGGAGAGCATTGCGTATGGTCCGGAGCCGGCCGTCACCACCCAGCGACGTAGAGGAGCTCAACAAGTTCATCCTGAGCGTGTTGCGTCTGTTCCTGGTCACCATCGGACTGCTGTTCGCCCTGCTGCTGCTCCTCATCATGCTGACAGAATCAGACCTGGACATTGCCTTCCTGAGAGACATCCGCAAGACGCCCGAATTCCAGCAGTTCCACTTTGAATACTTCTGCCCTCTGCGGCGCTGGTTTGCCTGTAAGTTACGATGGATGGGAGGTTTCCTCGTCAGTAAGTGAGGCCAAGTGAAAAACTGAAGAAGAGACTAAATGACTCAACACAGGCTTCCGCTGATGGAAATGGGACACGTACAACAAACAGGTCAGGAAATGAGGAGGGAAAAGGAAAAAAAGATGACAGCCCTGTTCCTAATACGAGCTTCTCCCAGGAAGGAGGTTCTGTCACAAGCCACGGACCGTCCTCTGAAGAGCCTTGTTTATTATGTTTGACCATCACTACGAGGAAAGGAAATCACATTTTACTTTAGAAATTCAGGTCATCTCAAGGTATTTTATTTTTACACAAAGTCACGGTGACAGGGTTTAATTTAAACGCTGAACCAGGTCTGACAGACACTCACTTATTCAACCACAGATAATAGTTGCCTTTATTTTTGTATTAATTTATATGTTGTAACATTACTGTAAGACGGAACGACCTGAAGTGTTGGGGTGCGCGTTGGAAGACCTGAAAGTTTGAGTAAAGTTTTGAGAGAAGAAAAGATGGGGGCCAGTCTAGCTCGTCAAGTTTTACGTCGACGGCAACAACGTTCACGATAATTAGAAGTCGCCGTGGTCGCTGTTTTGAGATGGACCAGTGTCAAGGGGGGGGGTTAGTTAGAGAAAGTGTGAAATGGAAAAATAAGCAGCACTTATTGAATGTAGATGAGTTCTGAGTCTGGAATGTTATCGCTCGTTTTATACAATTCTTAGGCAGATACAAATACACTTTACACACCTTCCTGAATTGTCCAGATGTGCTACACAAACGCCACATCTCGCGTACGGAATTTAAACTAAAACTTAGCTGCAGTAGCTATTTGAAACAGCTGTGATGTGGGTGCTGCCCTGTCAGCAGGCTCGAATGAATATTTTTGTAGTAAGTGTGACATTGTTCGTGGTCAGACATCTGTTAAGTGTGCTCACATGGCCATTTTTTTTTTTTTTTTTTTTTTGTCCAGACACTAGAGGACTAACAAAGTTTTACCGTCCGACGACTATAAATTAAGCCTTCGTAAGGATATAAGTAAGTAATGGAGGTTATAGGTTTCATTTTTAATTAAATAGCAGCCAAATAACGCTAATAACTACAATCAACTTCTGTGTGTGAGGAACAGTTGTCACTTTGCCGTAGTTACTTTTACAGTAGATGTAAAGGTGATGGGACTATGTGAGCTAGCACTGTAGTAATAGACAAGTGTTTGGTTAGATCTTTGACTCCCAACAATCTGTAGAAGGAGTTCATCTTGATGTGCAATACTGTTAATATAAAAACAACCACAGACCTTTCCGTGAAGGGAAATTTGACCTTGTTTTTCCTTTGTAAAGTGCAGCATTAGTGTTATTTTCCCCTCAGTATATAGTTAAGAGTTTGGTTTTAGTTCAAGAGCCCATGTTGAGTGAAGGTCATTTAACTTTATTTAGCCCTGCTGTGTTCGAATTTCTGCATTTCTCTGTAAAGGCTATTTAGATCATGTTTCCATTTTTGTACAAACTGCTGTCTTGGTAACACATTGAGATTTCCTCACAGTGACTTTTAATGTACTTGAAGCATCTTTGTTTTTACAGTGAATATACGGATTTCAGCCCTGCACTCACTTACAGGAGAGCCTAAGATAAGTCATGTTTACGTCCTACTGCAATCTTCATCATCACGCCTACCAAAGAAACCTCTGTTGTCTCATACGTCTGTCTGCGTCAACAGATGGAAACTAACAGTCTGCTGTCCTTCTCCAGCCTTATTATGATATTTCACAGGTTAGCCTACAGTGTGTCTTTACAGCCCAGAGCAACAGAGTTATTTCAAACCATAAAGTCAGTTTTGACGGTTAAGTATTTGTCCTCTCTTCAAGCCTAAAGGCGGTTGTTTAGGTTATATGTACATGTATGTGCTGTACGCAGCGATTATACAACACTATATCTAAACGAATGGATGTATTATTTATGCAAAGGGAGGAATGGTTTAGGATGGTGATTGGCTGATGGATTTAGGTTACGCAGGTGCCTATAAATAGTTTGAAAAGTTACTGTATTCATATTCAAATCTTTCCTACAATAAAAGAAATCCACAGGTTGGAAGTCAACGCAAAATGCATCACTTCGACAGTCCCTGTAGTGTTAAATATCCAGCTTTAAACGCCAGTTTTATCTTTGCACATGATAAAAATCAACACAAGTATTACTAACCCTCAGTTTTGGTTTGTTTTTGTTTTAGTTTGAAGTTGGATGAGTAACTGAAATATTGACTGATATATTTATATTTAATAAACAAAAGCACTCATGTTTCGGGGTTGGCTTTCAGACTTGATAATTTACTTATATTTTTGCTTTAATTCAGATGGTGCTCAGGGGTTTTTGATTGATGTTTGGTTTGGTTGTGATCATGTTTGATCATGTATGGGGGGAAAAAAAACGGCCAGTCAAGGCAGAGATTTTGCTTTTTTTTTTTTTAGCTACTTTTCTGTTAATGTGTATGAAAAAAAAAATTACAACATAATCTGAGCAATAAACATTACAGATTATGTAATGAATATTAACCACCATGAACTGCAAACTAATGTCCGTCTGTGTCTCCTAGACGTACAAATTGTCTTTTAAATCCTCTCGGAAGGTAGATCAGCCTGTAGATGCATGTGTGAGAGGAGCCGTGGCCACTGTTCCTGACTACCCACAATGCTAGATAATGCTCTGTGGTACAAAGAAACTTCTCCAGAATATCTATTGTCAGAAAAAGTTCCTGTAATTCTTGTTTGCTTGACTGATTTTATAGAAACTGATTAGATGAAAGTTTTCTTGTCAAAGTCTGTGTAAAAGAACTGAACACCTCTGACAGTACACCCAAGTTTCATGACAATTGAAGTGGAACAGATCTATTTTTTTCGCCAATTTAAAACAGCAGAAGTAGCATTTTCAACTACCTGAACCTTTCTTTGTGCAATGCAGTTCAATACACTGATGTTATTTTTAATTGCCTAAATCTGTTTCAGATGACTTGAACTGGCAAAGTGACAAAGAGAGGTGACAGTTCCACTGACAGGCAACTCTTGTTTTCATTTAACTGAATCATGTAAACAGGAATAAGGCCTCAGACATGGTCTTACTGTAAGCTTCCTTCCTGTACCATGGCCCTGCACATGGAAATGTCTCTGTAAGCATGTGTTCTGCATTTATTACCTCCAAACAAGACTGCTTAATTCCAATCACTGACTGAAGACTGGTGTAATCTATTTACGAATAAATATTATCTATTCTTGACATGTGGCAGCTAGTCTGGCTACAAATTCAATTATGGATTCACAGAAGAAGCAAACAAGGGTATTAAGCTTAATAAAACAGTCAAAAGTGAAATCAAAATCCTTTTTTTTTTTTAGTGTAGTCAATCCTAACACTTGCGATTCTTTTATGTGACACTACTGCCATCTTCAGGTGACTGCGACACTACTGCTGCTGAGATGAACACCATTCACACTCAGAATGTTTAATATTAAAATATCTATTTATTCTGTTTGCTTCAGTAGGCACAAAAACAAAACAATACTAATAAAAAAATAAAAATGAACACAACTTTTCAACGGGCACTTTTCCCAACCCAAACACCTCGGCCTTTCCACTGTGCCACAAACAACACAAACTAAACATACTGTAGAAATTGCCTGGGTTCTACATGACATTTGGAGAACATTTTCAAATCCTTGCAGTTTAACTTACTATGAACAGCATGGGATTTAATTAGTACTGTTTTGGAAAAATTAACAGAAAACTTCTCATCTCAAACTGAGAAGTCTGCACACACTGACCTAAATTATGGTGACGCATAAAATAAAGTAGCTGATACAAAACCACATAAGTTGATCAATTAGTAACATTACATTCACCTCTGTCTCAGTTGTCCAGTAACCACAGTCAGTATCCTGGTAAAAGAAATGGCAACATAGCAAACATGACAAATCCAATACAAGGGAACTGAAAAGTTTGAACCAGGGAATGTCAAGATCAAGGCTTTCAAGGCACTTAATGCCCCAGAAGAGTAAAGTAAGGCAGGAAGAACAAATAAAGCAGATCCCTAAATCTGCCAAAGCTGGATCAGAGCTGAGCTTTTTTGGCCACTGTACAGGCACTGCACATGAGAGGAAACAACATGAAGGCTGGCAGTAGCTGCATTGTGATTCTTTGCAACTCGCCTGACAGCATGTAGAGACACAGTAAAAGGAATGCAGTGGAAAAAAACAGAAAAAAAAAAAAACAGGCAAATCTCAGGACTATCTGGTGCCATCTGCAAGAAAACTCATTTGCAGCAAGACAACAAACTCAAATTTGCACAGGAGTGGCTTCAAAACACAGAATCATCCTTAAGTCCAGATGTTGGTTCAACTCACTCAGTCATGTAAACAGCTTAAAAAGCACAGAATGGAAGAGTGCAGTGTCCTTTTGTGCAAAGCTGATACCAACATAGCCACAAATTGTAGACTTAGGGTCAGTTATGTTTTGCATTTGTGCTTAAATTTCACAAGATTACAGTACTTTAGTAGGTACTGGCGCTCATGAATGCAAAGATCTCATCAGTCAATCATGTGTCAGCAACTAAGTAAACAACATAACACCAGAATGAGGAAGGAATGTAACTATGAACCGGAGAATGGCCAGACTTTGACATACAAATACAGCCAGAACACACTGATGCAATATTGTAAAAGAGGAAAACATGAAAAAAAAAATACAAAAAGGTGTGAACATTTTTTCACAGCTGGACAGTAAAATACACCTACACTCTGACACTACCTACCCAAAGTAGGAATAAGTGCAGGGGTTTCTGTGGCAAGTGAAGACAATTCTGCTGCTTTGTTACCGATACTGTGTTACCTCACAGCATATTGAATGTTTGTACTGTAACTCTAAGTGCAACATCTCTATGAACATGACTAGTGACTTGAGACACGTTATTTTAATACACTATAGGAATGTTACTGAGCGAAATGTTCTATGGAGAAAGTGACTGGAAGAAAGCAAGGGACTATATTGTCACTCTTGTAAAGTGGTGACAAAAGTGAAGACTCCCTCTGCATTGTTGGGGTTGCACACCCTGACTATGACCAAATTTTCTACTTGTTCTTCCTACCCTGCTGAAGCCAGCTGGTCCAACACTTTGGTCTTTACTTTAGCTGGAAAAGATGTGCAGGCGCCCTGATGCATTGCCGCCCAGCAAGGCATTCCTTGTGGGGTGGAAAGCAGTGACGGACAGCACTGTGCTAAGGTTCTCGTTGTCCATGAAGGAATGCTGAGGTTGGCCGCTTTCATGGAACACCCGCACCCTCCGGGGCTTCATCATGCTCCCCACCACAAAGCAGTCTTCCTGTTTGGGGTCCCAAACTGCTGATAGTTTGGTCAACCAGCGGCCTGTGTGCATGTCATGTCTGCAAACATAGATGGAGAAGAGACGTAATTATGTTCAGGTTATACTGTTTTTAAGGCAGCATGACGTCTGTAAACAATGACTGATCCTTTTTATTTTTTCCATTGATGGACTTTTTATTAGGCAGGGACAGTGCTCATTGGTCAATGGAAAAAAAAAAATTGCCGTATATATGATAGGCTGTCTTTCCATCTATTGTCTCTGGCCAGTTCTTAAAATGACAACCGAAATTTAATTACAGGTTTAAGTTCAATTTACCTGATGGATGTCAGCAAGGGAGATTTAGTAGTCATTGCAGATGTGTCATATATCCTGTTAAAAAAAAAAAAAAAAGTTCATGCAAACATTGAGCTGGGACTGAAAAAATAAGCTACAATAAGTACAAAACAACTGGCCAAAGTGCTGTATTGGCTTCACCTTATGTTGTCATCCATACAGGAGGTAAGAACTCTGTTCCCGGTAATAGGGGAGAAATAAGCGCTGGATATGCTCAAAGAGTGGCCGTGCAGCTGGGAGACTGCCTCGCTTTTTTTCTTCTTCAGGCACCGGCTGTCATAAATACTCACTACCCTGCAGACAAGATCAAAATGTCCATTTAATAACACCTTAAAGACGGGCTAAAACAAAACCGAAAACTAGAAAAGTTAAAAATCAGCCATACCTGCTTTCTGCCACTGCAAAGTACTGCTTCTGTAAAGGGTGGACACTAACACAGCGCAAAACCTTTGGGTCCAGTGAGTGGAGGGACTCATGGGAATTTCTGAAGACAAATTAAATAGCATGCTTTTAAACAACTTCAGTGTGTTCACATAACACTTTACTCTTCAACACGATTGGAAGTTTTATAAATGACTACTATTATCAGTTTAAGGCAATAATAATACTTTACCCTGGGGTGCGTCGATCAACGATTGCAACCTCTCCATACCAGTTCCCAACCACTAGCGTCACGCAGTCATGTGACATGAAGTCAAAAGTTTTCAGGCCATCTTCAATATCATACACCTAAAATGTATAAATCTCTTAGTATATATTGACTACAGTCCAAACAGATTGATTTCAACCAGACAAGGTGCAAATTTGGAGCAAATGTGCTGGTCGTCTGACATGTTTATAAAATTCTAAGATAATTATCAGTTGTTTCATTGAATTAAAGGTATCTTACGTCATCAAAAACAGCCTTCTCTATATCCATGCAGCGCAGAGATCCGTCATAGCTGAGGCTCAGCAGCTGGGTGGGATGAGCAGTGGAGAAGGCCATGCAGCCCACCGGACGAGTGTGGGGCTCAAAGAGCAGCACACCATCATCGCCCCAGTCACCACCCTGAAACAATACAAATAAACGAACTGGGTCCCGACATACAGTTTATGTGATGAAATCAAACTGTTGTGAAATTTACAACAACATTTATGTACATCCAGTGAACAGCAAACTTTAAAAAATGCTCAAGGCAAGACATAAGACAAACATAAAGTAGATCAGTGTAAACTGAAGTTAAAAATGGAACAAGCCAAAAATCCTGAAGAGAACTTTGAGAAAAGCACTTGTGATTTTTACCAGTAAGATCTACGAAGCTGATACAAAGATATACAGACCTGCTCCTATGAGTTTGTTTTGAGCACATTTTATTTCCTCTAGTGGTTAAACACTAATTTGTAATTGGGGCTAAGAAATCTCACCAACTTCCAGAGTCCCACTTTCCCCCACTTGTCTCCTGCGGCCATCAACAGGCTGCTGGTGCACGGGTGGAAGGCTGCAGAGAAGATGCGATCCTTCACCACTTTGGCTACTTTGTCTTCCGTTATCTTCATGTTTTTAAGTACGGATCGGTACCTGTGTTAAGACAACAGTGCAGATTTTTGTCCAGCTGTATAAACTTTGTCAGCTGTTTGTTAAAAATGTGACCACCAACACATTAGTCAAAAGCAACCCTCAGAGAAGGAGCAGTCACGTTTTAGTAGCTGAGCTTCTGTAGGCTGATATCAAAATCTAAAATTTTAATCTTACTCTTTGAGATCAAGCTTCAGTTTTCTGTCTTCTGTTGAGTCCTGCGAGAGAAAAAAAAGAAGAAGAAGCAATTTTAGGATTTACTTAGTGCTTTTTAACAACAATGACACCTACAAAGATACGGCATATCTCAAGGCAAAGCATCTCCAAAATATCCTTACATTTTTATATTATTTTATATTTTTATATTAAGTTTTTATTCTGGTGACACAACTGTCAAAGGCAAACCATGAAAACACCCTTTGTTATCAGGAGAAAAGAAAGTGTGGTATCAACCACATACTGGCAACATGAGACTGGCATACATGATACCACAGAAATATGACTCCTACCTCAGAGCAGAGCTTAAGAAGCTGTGAAGGCAGCTTATGTCCCTCTTCCATGTTGACTGGATCCATGGGCAGAGGACCAGCAGGCTTCTTAGCTGGAGTAGACTTTAAACCAAGTAAATAACCAAATAAGTAACAAAAGAAAAAAGAAAGAACACCAAGAAGAACAGCTAGACACACTTAGACCTAGCAGTAGTGTAAAGTGAGGCACTGGCATCATTACGTTATTCAATTATATGTTGGCACCTGTTCAAAGATAAGGTTCCCTCTGGGTTCAGGAGGAAGTGTCAAGACTTCTGCCTCTTTATTTTGGAGACGCAGGGATTTGCGAGGTGGCAGCACTTGTTTTACAGCAGCTTGTGACCTGCAACCACAGAAATTAAACGTTACAGTGACGTCAAAGAGACACTTTTTTAAATCAGTGAAACGAACAGAAAAAAGCCATCAACACGGTGAATCAAAGCTCAACTACACAAATCAACTTTCACTGGTATGAAATTAAATTCAACAGAAAAAAAAAAGTCAATACTCACTTTTAAGAATTTAAAAACAGATACTACTGAAAATGTTTTCCTTTTGCCAGTCAATTAATTACTCTGTTAAGTTAAAACTCAAAACCAGTGCAGAGGTGGTTATACAGAAGAAGGACAATGAATGACACAGAAAACATGTTTTTTTTAAAAACAACAACAACACACTAAAACTACACTACAAACTACACTAGGTATTACAATAACTCTGAGATTAGTAGTAACAGTTTGGCAGCCAGACATACCTCATGAGACCCCTCTGTGAAGGCTTTGGTCGTGTCAGCTTCTTGAACTCCTCAGTTGCCTTTTGGAAAAGAAAACTACAATTGATGTCTTGCCATGGTAAACTGAGTGCATGCATACATCCCAATATGTGCAAAATATACACAAACAACTCTGACCAACATAACCTAAAATATATATTATAATAAATTATCTTATATCTCCTAATGAGGATAAATATAAACACATACATTCTCAATACACTGGTACAGTTCCTTTTTTTGTGCTGCCTTACTATTTTTAAGTGGATTACAGTAAAGCTTTACCAGTTAAATGTTCTGACTTCTGCTTGTGTACATGTTATCGTTTGTTGTATCTATTCTCAGTTCAATTAAATAGGATTTAAACTACATATTAACTATAACTAAATATTCAAAATCAGAGGGTTTCCTGCATACAGGAATTTCTGGCACTTCCCAAAGAGGTTTTAACCAGTTTCAAGGGATAAATCACCAAAATAATACAAGAACTAAAATTTCAAATATATATGTATGTGAGTTTGAAGGTGTTTTATAGGGATTTTATTTGCTTAAGCACAGTAGACAATTTTTGCTTATCAAGAGATTTCTGTCCATGACAGTGACAAAGTCATTGCCTTTACTGTACTTGATCTTATCATGCTTACTGTCATGCCTTTAAGGTCCATTCTAAACCAAGAAAAGCCCTGATAGTAACAGATTTAATATGATGCATGTGTAAAACCCAGTGTCCCAGGTTTTATTGACAAAAGGTCAACTCATGTGGTTTTACCTCATCTGTCAACCCACCTGGAATAAGTTGATCGAGGAGAGAAATGCTTGGTTCTGTCTGATGTTCTCCAGGCGCTCCAGCTCATAGGCAGAAAGGCCTCCATGTCCGTCCTGTTGCACAAAGATACAGCACTGACAATGTGCAGAAACATCCCAGCACCTTAATTTTAACAAACCGTATATGTTTTGAGAATATTGGTCCCTTTTCACATATTTTTATACATGTTGCAACGACATTCACTCAAAGAAAGAGTTTTTGTACTTACAGATGCAAGGTCCACATCACTGTTTTCAACATCCTCTTCATCCTTAATTTGTCTTTTATTCTGGACGATTTCCTCGACGTGGGTTTGTGTTTTCTGTCATGAAAACGTGGGCACATTAACGATGCAAAACAAACCGACCTGCTGAGTAATATCACCATCTGTGCGTCCCCCATGAGACTCTCACCCTTTTCTTCTGGGTCGTCTCAGCTGTGCTGTCTTCAGGAGAGTACTGGAGGCGTTTCGGTGCCAGAGCAGTCCGGGACGATCGTCTGGATGTTTCCTCCAGATTCACAGGAGTCATTTCCTTCAAGGTGTTCATTATCAATAATTAACTTAACAGGAAGCGCTCATTCAACTTTCCCAAACTGTTATCAAACCTCACACCACGTTTCCTTAAAATAGTGCCTGAAAATTTTAAACTTACTGATAACTCATTTTAAGTCAGTTTATCCCCCTTCGAGTGGCTCATTTTAACGCTATTCAGCAACTAGCTGACACAGACAGGAAGAAGGTTCCAGAAAACCGCAGTTAAAACGCCACCATAACAGACTTTACCTGAACAACAGCTCCACGTTTTGCTCGTCGTGTCGCCATGTTGTTGTCCTTTACGATATTAATTGAGAATATTTGTTCGAGATAAGTCTACAAGGTGAGACAAGTGCACCTCACAGCAGATAACTGGACTGTTTGTGAGGTGGAAGAGCAGAGTCATTGGCGCCACATGGAAGAAATGTTTTGTAACTGGCCCCTCCCCCTTTGCGTTGTGAAACAGAATACTGGTAGTTCATTGGTTGGATTTTACATCAACACTTTCATGGGGCGGGTCTCTGCTGCTATTAGCCAATGAGCGACGTAAAAATTGATTGACAGTTTACGGAGAGCCTCAGTTCCTGCTAGCTTAATGTCGCCATCTTGTGGGTTTTTGATGCATAGAAATCAGCCAATAAGTTAAATAATATCAATTAACGGACACATACTGCCAAAAAAGAATGTAACGACCCAAGTGTATACGGTAGAAATTTGTTTATTGATAACACAGAAAAATGGAAACAACTGACTCCATAATAAGCCTTAAGTGCATGTCTATCAGCAGAGTTTGTTGAAGCTGAGCAGGTCATTAAAGCATCTTCACTTTGCAGGACATTTTTTTGTTTCTCTAGAGCCACTCAGTAAAAATTATGCCATTCAATCATGGATGAGCTCCCATACAGTGGATGTCTGCCCTTCAGTGGGCATGTCATAAGAGTTTACTTGTTTTCCTCAATGCTGTTTCTTGAAGTCCTGCAAACTGATGTTCAAATGTATGTACAAGCACAGTTATTATCGATAACTGTCTAAAAGAGCATCACTACATTTATATTGTGTACAAAAGATACATGAAAAACAACTGTGCTCCACACCATCCCCAGTTGCTCCCCAGATGCACATGAGTAATCCCTGGCTGCACTGAGGAAATCTGATTTATTTTTATTAGCCAGAATGAATGGAAAATGGTGTTTTGCTCTGATGCATGGAACATAAGCTGCGTCATCATGACAGACAGCCTGTTTAGGTCACACTCTCTGTCATGTTTGCTTCTACGTGTTTAACAGGCCATGACTTAGAACTTAAGTGCAATGCACCGTATCGAAATGTCCAAGAATGCAGTCGGAAAGCATCTCTTTGTGATTGTACTGAAGTGAAGCTCATGTCCCTTCATTTATTTTGTAAATGGCAGTTCTTGACACACCTCCTTCTTCTTGTATTTGGCTTGAAATTTGTACAAGAGGATGCTGTTGAGAAATTGGACTTCCAGAAATGGTTTTAAGGGCCCCTTTAATTCAGTTCAGACCTTCAGAGGCTATACGAAACACTTCAGGGAACACGTCCAGGCAGGTTTAGTCCTTTAACAGGGCCCCTGGGTGACATTTTCCTGAGTTTTTCCCTCTTTGTTACTCCTCACACTAAAAGTAAAGGGTAGGAAGAGCATGCAGCCAATCCGCACATGTTTCTTCCCCGCTCAATCAAGAAATATCTGATGGAATAAAAAAGAAAGCTGTCAATGAAGCTTGAAAGCAGCACCAAGTCACAGCACTGAAATACACACAGACTATATTTACCCGTCCTTCCCCCAGGCTGTGCCCCAAGAGTTCTTCACAATCCAATACGGCGTGCCGTTCTCTTCAGTCCCATAACCCACAGCCAAGACCGCATGATTCACGCTGACTGATGTGTTCTTACACCAGGTGCTAAACAGACAACACTCAATCAATAGTGAGCGACTAGCCTCTTTCAATAATCTATGCAGACATTTTTTACATCCAAACATTCACAAGCTTAAAATTTGCCTCTACCAGTTCAACATCAGTGCAATTATGACAGAAACAGAAAGCAGACTGAACCACAAGCACTCGTAATGGTTTACACAATAAAAAATCATATTATGGCAGTAGTCAGCTCATGAATATACATGTTCCACTTAGTGGCAGTTTATCCTGGTTGACACCAATATGGACATCACAGCAAACGTGCAAGTATATTCTGACAACATAGATGTAGGGGAAGTTTTTTTTCTTCTGACAAAGTCAGAAATATGTTGGGTTTTTTTAAATATAAGGGTACAAGCAGATTTTTCTATTCTCCTAAAATAGCCATCAGCTAAAATTCTGGTTTCTGCAGATTTTGCTGGTAGCGTCATTATTCCCATAATCCTCTTTCAAAAAACATAACTTCTGTATTAGTGGATTACACAGCAGAAATCCCATTATTGTATTATATTTTTTCCGTAGTGCAAAAGGAACAGAAAAAAAGTGGTACAGTCCAACCTGATGAACTGCTCTGAACACGCCTGACTAAGTGTAGTTTGTGGACAATCATAAATACAGATGCATGTGTTAAGTTATTGAGGTCCATGTCTCACCTGGAGTAGACTCCTTCCTTGTAGTGCATAAAATCAGCTGTGACGTCAAAGCTGAAGGTGATGGGGTTGAGCGAGGCCACAGCCTCAACCATGGCCTTTTCATCATACTGGAGATGGACAAACATTTTTAACAAGGAAAGAGGCAGAGTTAATGCATTCATAGTAACATGATAACCAGAGCAAATGAACCTTTACTGGGAATTCCAAACAGCACGAAGGAGCTGCTTCTTGTTTTTTTCCCCTAAATCAGGTGACTGACAACATGTTTAACTGTAACTGATTTGTGAGGCTGTAATGTATTGCTGAACACTCATATAGCATAACTAATGTACAGTTTCTTCCACATTGTAATGTCACATGTTCATAGACTCACAACTGTTATGTTGACAACATCTCGAACAAAAGCAGCTGCAAGCGTCGGAACAAAACTGCAGGTGTCATCCTAAAGCAGGAAGGATAACACGTATTTACTTTTATTCCAAATATGTATTCTTAATACTTAATATACAGTAAGACTTTATTCTCAAGATCATACGTGGCCTTTGTAGGGATAGTCCTCCTCTGTCATGAGACCTTTGTTGTATTTGATGTACTCAAAAGCCTGGCTGGGGAGCCCACTGTAACAAACCAGGTAGCTTTTAATTGATCAAAAGTTATTGCTGTAGTCTAAATACTAATAATAAATGTATGATTCTTACCCCAAGCATCCATAGTTGTCAAAGTTTCTGGCACAGTCTATCAGCTGCTGCTCAGACTGAAGCAGGGATGAACAGACAGCATCATGTATTTAAACACCATACAGTAGTGATGATTTTCATTATGCAAATGACTAGACATTCTAAATTTTATAGCAGTAATTTCTTCTGCAAGTATATAAAGAGTTCATTTGCAAAAACAGATAACTCAATCTTCACAAACTTTCAGAAAACCTACTTTTCCATCGTCTACCTGAGACAATATCCAACTTATGTTATCTCTGTTTTTGTCATGTCATTACTACTGCGTCTAATCCACTCAACTTCAGTTTGATTGATATTATCTCAAGCAAACAACAACAAAAAAAGTTTTCTGAAACTCTACAAAAATGGAGTTATCTGTTTTTGCACATGAACTCTTCATATTTCAAAACAGTGTCTATTAGTTCACACATATTAAGGTCTCACCAGAGATACTAGTTTCCCAGTAGCGATGGCATTTACTGACTCCAGACAACCAGTGGTAGAGAAGGTCCAACAGCTGCCACAGTTACCCTGAAAACACAAACACCACGCTGCTCAGACAAGTACAAATGTACTTGTGTAAAAGGTGCACTCCACTAATTTTACACTTGAAGGTTGAGTGGTAATGAAAACAGTTGTCTGGCAAAGCTTTGTAAATCAGAGAAAATAATGTGTCACAATATCTTAGACTCTGACTTTAAGAAAGGAAAATATGGAGATCAGTCAGCCTTTAACACAGCTTGACATGTATATTAATAAATACTTGCTGTGCCATGACCAAATTCTTGTTCTACGTCGGTGCTACTTTGGTTTGTCAGTACTGTATGAGGGTACCTTTATTCTTTATTAGGATCCCCATTAGCTCCCACAAAGTGTTTGCTAGTCTTCCTTGGGCCCCAGGGTAAAAATCAAAATTACAATTTATAAAACATTAAAAAATACGTAATAAATAGCAAACATTTATATATTTATATTATATTACTTATATAATGCAACCCAGTGCAAAGCAGTAAAGGAACGCTGACACAACACTGTTAATATGAAACTAATACAGAAGAAGAATACTCAAGTATTCTGTGCCAATTGTCCCTTTATTTTCCTCTTTGAAGAGCTTATATTTTTAGTGCTCTGATATGTAAAGAAAGTGAATTCCATGCTTTACTCCTCTGTAAGCAATAGTTCTTTTCATGAAGTTGGTATCAGACCCGGAGAGGACAAAGTGCTTGACGTCACTTTGCAAATCACGTAATTGTTGCAAAAAAAAAAAAAGAAATTTTCAGTTAAAAATCTGGGCTCTCTTTCTGCCAAAACTTTATGCATGAACATCAGCTTGTAATTTTGCCTCTGCCGTTAACCAGGACAGCTTCTTGTGCATCTCACGCACCTGATTCTTCACAGGAGTCACAAAGTTGCCCTTCGTCCTCCAGTCTACAGACTCAGGGTGAGGTCCGGTCCTGCTGACGTGACTCCCTTTAGTGGCTGAGCAGTTCTACAAGACATCAGAATCACAAGATCACAAAGAAAACCAAAACTTATACTGCATAAAAGCACATTTGTAGTGTTGTCAGGTGTTTTATACCTGAGGTTTTGTCCAAAGGTAGAATTTCCTGAATTCATCAAAGGTCATGTCTGAGAACTGGTTCAGGCCCACTAGGTTTGAAAACAAACAGCTACATGAGAACAACTTCCATGATCTTAGAATGTGACGAATATAATGTTCAAGTCAGCATTATGAGGCTGGAGTTAGAGCGGAACTGCTACGTACTTGTGAAGGAGTGATTCCCAGCATTGTGATGATCAATCATTCTCCTGTTGTGAGTGAATACGTGGAGCCGGTGGTAATACTCCTCAGTGTCGTAAACTCTGTTGTGCTGCACGTCAAAATCAGAAATGTAGGAGAGCATACAAAAGAAAGAAGTCTCAAAACATCCACGTTCTGAGCGTGCAAAACAAATACTTCATATGACTAGAAAGTGGGAAATTTTGAACAGCTTCTGAAGTATTATGTACATACCTGTTGCATCCACTGTTTGAAATGGTATTCCTCTGATAGGACATAGAGTGAAACCATCAGTAACTGAAGCAACATAGTCCTGAGGCCATTTATGTCACAAAGATGTAACTAAATACATTTACTCAAGCATTATACCTACATCCAAATTTGAGGTGCTTATTTGACTTTACTATTGCAACTGCTACATCTGCTGCTTAGAGAGAAATTGTAATGTTCACTTCACTGCAGCTATTTGAGACTTGGATTTTTACAGATCAAGATTTTAATAGATTGAGAGAGTTTACAAAATTTGATGCTTTGTAAGATTAGTTCTCTCCACAATGTGTAAAATACAAAAGTATTAGCTTCATAGAAATAACAGTAAAAACGATACCAAGCCTTAGAAATTGGGAACCTGTTTCTGCACCATGATGCCTTTTCATACTGAACATTTTGCTCATACAAATGAAGGACATGATTAAATATATGCAAATAAAAATACAAAGCTTGTATGTTCAAAATGGATAACTAATATGGGGCTCGTGAACATTTAACTTCCTTTCAGACCCCTGTGTGTGCTCAGCCTCTCTGAAAACAGAGAAGTCTCCTTTTGCATAGAACTATGAAGCTATTTGGTCATCAGATAAACATTGACTGAATAAATAGATGAATACACATCATATAGTTACATAGATCTCTGAATGAAACCCAGCTACTTGATTGATTCTCATTCATCTATGAATTAACTGTGATTAACATGCATAACTGATGATCTATTAAGTGGAAGCTACTCACATGAAGTAACACTTGATAATTTTTTAAAGGTGAACAACAGGAATTCACAATGCATCCTGCATTAATTCAATCATTAAACCATCTTCAGTTAAGCATTGCTTCGTACATGATTTGTACCCTTAATTTGCCATCACTGTCACTGATGCGGTGTGTAACTGCCTCTGCTAGAAACACCTACTTCTGCTGGAATCTTGACGTTTTTAAATGACGATAAATGAAAAAGAAATGATTTAATGAACACTTACCTTCAAGAGAAGTTAAAGGTGTTAAATGGACAAAGCTAAGAGCTGCAGTAATGAACCACACAACACTCAGTGCCATACTGTCCCCGGCAGACTCCAACCAGTTTTGAGGGCATCACATGACTCGGCCTCATTTTACAATGAAGACTTAACCAGCTCCCTCCTCTGACACCCCCGCCCCCCTTTTGAACCTCCCCTAGCAAAGCTCCAACCACAGTTTTCACGGTCCACTACACCTACAGCTCAGCTCAGCTCAGCGCGTAAAACAAACGCAGCAGCCTCGAGGACACTTCTCCCCCTGAGAAAGAATAGATTTATTAACAAGAGGTAATCAGGAAAGAATACACTTTTATACAAAACTGGAAATACTACTCAAGCTGTTGAAATAGACTGAAAGATAATTCTCATACCACTGGGTATTGCTCACTGCAAACATTTGATGTGCCTGTTAGAGGGTAAAGATTTTATGTGCAAGGGTGGGGTTTAAATACAGTACACATACTGTTGTAGATATAGATTTGATTTGAACACGTGAAAGTGGTACATGCCTGCCACTTAAGCTTTAGGTGTTTTTCTATACAAAGCCTGTAAAAAATACATATAAATATTCCAAGAATAAGCACAATATTACTACTGTATAGTTCCTGCTAACGCGTCGGAATAGACAGGATACAGAATGTGTTACACTTATAAGTTGTTTTCAACATTTGTTTTAAAGTATCATACACAGAAAAGTTATTACAGAGTTGAACGATCATAAGGATAACACATTTCGAGGGATATGTTTTAAACACATTGCACATTAGGAAATGCATCAGACTGCCTGTACACAATTTTGTACACAGCATATATTTCTGCTTCATTGGCAAATCGTAGAACAAAATAGTTTACATACTTTTGTGGTATATAATCCGTTTCATGATTAAGGCAAAACCATAATGCACTGGCCAAAGAGGATTAACCATAAAAACTATGTTCTCACTGTCTGAGTGTAGAAGCTGCGAATTTAACTTCCTGAAGTGGCTCAATATTGGTTACATCTGCTACATACATTGCCCGGTGCTTATACTGTATATACATCGTGTTGCCCACCAGGGGAAAAAAAAAAGGTGATAATAAGCAAAGCATAAAAACCCATCTCTCCAAACTGAAAACAAACAGCTCGGTCAGAAAACTACAACACTTCCAAATCTCTTTGTCAGTGGCTACATAAAACGTCAGAGCACATGATTCAACTTTAGCCACTGCAGCAGGTCCCACTTTTCACCTCCTCTACAACTCTGAGAGGAAAAGTTTCTAAAAGGTGTTTAAATTGAAGTTTTAATCCTTAAGATTTTTGTATTTTGTTGCAATATTCAATATATTTACATTCAGGACTTCTTCATATTGTAGTTTTTATCATCAGATGTGGAGTCATGCTGGATTCAAATCAAGCCTGAAACCTTAAGGATTACAACTTTACATGATCGTGCAGCAGGTGGATCAGCAGATATTTGTATTATTTTTTTTAACTTTCAAGATCTACACTTCAGGTCAAAGAGGTTGATTTATATGAAAGCTTGTTTAAAGATTACTGCAGTTATGTCAAAGTCTCTTATCTCTGACATCTGAACAGAAAAGTGGGAGTTGATCATCATGTGTCAAATGTGACCATCTCTCAAGAACGAGAGCTTTTTTAAATATATATATATACTGCCCATTCCCATTAGGATACGACTTAATATCAAGCCTGTTGGCTCTCCTGTGTGTTCTGTGGTTTAAAATAATGTCATCATAAAATGATATTTCAGACGATAAATAACATATAAATACTCTGCAACTATAGAAATAAAACCTCTCTGGGCTTCTACTCAGTCTCTAATAACGATTATACACAACAAGTCCAGTGGGGAGCATATACTAGAAGGGCACAGCCTACTGTGTCTAATACAAATAATACTAAATGTACATTTTGATATACGGTGTCTGTACACTCTAGATGAGGGCAGAGTGAGAGAGATCCTCTTCATGATGAAGTTTTGGGCTCGATTCTGAGAGACGCATCGTACAGGCTCTCCTCATCCAGCACCGTGCTGCCGTCGAGCAAATACTTTGCCACCTAAAGCAATGAAGAGCACAGACAAGGTAGAATCCTTTCTTTTCAGATTCTACGGTACATTAGGAATGGATATATACTGAAGAAGAGAACGCAAACCTGCCTTTAGTGTAGAACATTTAGTCCACGGTTGTTCAGTTCAGTAAGTTACATTGGGATTCTGGCACCAAATCAGGCATGACATATACTCTTTGTTATTTCAACATAAAAACTAGTACTTTTTACTTTTTGAAAATGTAATCTGTTGTTTCCTGTTAAGCAGACTGAAGACAACAGGGGAGCCAGGGGGGAGTTTGGCAACTTTTCATAACGTCCACTCAAAACGTGATGTGTGAAATTTTGGCAGGATTTCTAAAACACTGAAAATATGCTGTCTTTGCCATGCATTTCTATTTTTTCTGCAGCTTCACCATCATTTATTATGAATAAAATTAGGCAAATATTGACGCATGATTCACACATGAGGGTGATTAATCACTGTTTCACTTTTGTAAAGACACCAAACTATCTTGATGCCAACTGGTGTGAAACAGAAAAATAAAACTAACCCTCTGTGATGCTAAAAGCAGGCAGCAATAGCTACTTTTCGCTTGTTAGCCTATTTCTATTATTAATATCTTTATTAACAAAATAATAGAAGCATATTTTTTATTGTTAAAGACTGTCTAATAATCAGAGGTACACATAATATCCAGAAACCCAGTAGCTACATCCTGGCTTTTGCTGACCCCAGAAACAAAAAGTGTCACTGATTTTCAGATCTCAAGCTTAATTATTGGCTAATATTACCTTAAAATATTTCTTTTCACTAAACAATGAATAAAAACAAGGGCAAATCTCACCTTTGGTTGGTAGTCAATCTTGTAAGCTGTTTGCTGAAATTGCCGTATCTCTCTGATAATGTGAGATATCTGGAGAAAAAAAATCAGAAAGACATGAAATTCAACCATGCTGAAACAATATACAGTTCAAAGTTTGGGGTGTTGCACGTACATCGTCATGCTAAGGTGTTTTTTTTGTTTGTTTGTTTGTTTTTTTACCATTCTCATCTTGGAGAAGTTGACCAGGTTGTCCTCTGTGTAGTTGGGTGTTCCCTCCTCAATGAAGGCCAGGTCAGTCAGGTACATGCCCAGGTAGGGAACGCAGGGAGGGTCACAGCTGAGGACAGCAGGCAGGTCAGAGAGAGAGACAGCAATGATACAAATGCAAAGAAATATAGTGATATACTGTATATAAAAGCTAATAAATACAAAGGAGACGGTACAGCATACGAGGTGTGTCAGAAAAGTTCCAGGACTCACAAAAGATATATTTCAAACCCAAACTACAAACTACCAGTTTTCCCCTTCAGACGATCAACCAGCACGTCTACAAAGAGATCCTGCAGCATTTGCATCATTCAGAGTTGCGGCAGGACAAGTCGTGGCTGCTTCACCATGACAACGTATCTGCTCACAATGCCCTGAGCATCCAACAGTTCCTGGCTGAGAAGAACATCTCCGTGCTGGAGCAACCTCCCCTCCCCAAGCTCAAGGGGGTCATCAAGCGGACCTGTTTTGAAGACGTGGACGACATCAAGATGGCTGTGACGACAGAGCTGTGGAGGATCCTGGAAGAATCCTTCCAGGAGTGCATGGCGGCGTGGCAGAGAAGGCTGGGAAAGTGTGTTAGACTCCAGGGGGATTACTTCGAAGGGGAACACTTGTAGTTTGTAGTTTGGATTTGAAATATATCTTCTGTGACACCAGTGGATACTCACTTCTTTAGAGCCTCTCTCAGGTTTTTGAATCGGCCCTCTGACGACACCAACTTCTGTAACTTGTCGATCACAGTCTTTGTCTAGAGGATGGATGAGGGCAAAGCTGCTATCATTTAGTGACCTAAAAATTTCATCAACATTTTTTGTTGACCAGAAAAAAAAACTTTGTTCCACCAGAAATGACTGATACCTGCTTGGAGACTTTGAGCCAGGTCTTCTTGAGGCGGAAAACGGAGCTGCGGTTGAGAGAGGATGTGATCTCCAGCACGGCGTTGTAGTTGTGGAGGCAGCGACAGATGTCAGCCACCGCCACCCATTTCTCGATCACCGCCCCCCGCATGTTGACATCGTCCCATTGCAGGATCTCTGTGGCAATCCTGTTACTGATCTGGATTTAAAAAAACACCAAAAACACACAAATACATGGTCATAACAAAATCTATCTATCTATCTATCTATCTATCTATCTATCTATCTATTACCAGTGTAAATACATACATCATTGAAATGCTTGGTTGTTTTCATTATGTATGGAGTTCTCTCATTCTTGTCGTTCTTCATCCAACCTTGACCAAAGAATTCCCTTCAGAAAAAAAAAAAAAACGTTTCCAAATAATCAATAATCATATTACATGAATAACATATCAATTCTTCCTGTGTGAGCTTCCCTCTAGCCTCCCAGTGTCTTTGTGAATATGTTTGTGAGCGCTCACTCATAGGGGATGACTTTGAAGACCAGGTGGTCCAGCAGTGTGAGCTGCTCAGCTATTTCCAAGGCCGAATGGCTCTCAAACGGTTCAGTCTTGCAGTCCTCCATCGCCTGAGCACAGACACATATCAGCAAAGCATTATCATAACCAGGTCACTCAGTAATTTCAAGAAGTAAGTGAGGTTTTATTCTGAAAAGGCTTTTTGTAATCCATCTCTCACCATCTGTGTGATCTCTTCGAGGGTGACCTGGTTGTCTCCAGGATCCTCCTGGGTGAGAGTCCTGTGTACGAGAACATATGAGTGCCATTATTTGACAGATATTGTCCACAATCAATACGACTTTGATGTGTATTAAATTACAAATAGAGTATTTTGACAGGTTTGTTAGAGCATACACTATATTGGGGGGGTTGCCTCTAGTTTGCTATGTTGTACAATTTAAAAGTCTGGCTCATCTTCCCCAGAGGACCAAAGTACACTTCAGGGACTGCTGCTCTGCAGAAAGGTTGGAAATGTAGGCCAGGGTCTGAGTCGATGCATTTTATCTCAAGTTCCTGTTTATACTTCCTCAAATGAGTTTTGGTGCCAAAAATAGTCTTAGAAAAAGTTTTTTCCTGCAAGGTTGTCACAAAATGTGTCATATATGACTGTATGTGCAATCAAGCTACGATAACGGTAAAACCAACCTGATAATGTTAGCAGCTGCCTTTCTTTCCTGTGTCAGGAGCTCTGGGTCATGCATCACCTCCTCCAGGAAGCCAATTACCCGAATCTTCAGCTCTGTGTTCAGCTCAAAGTCCTGAGGACCCACACAGGAACAACAACAGTGTCATTACAGAGGTGTTGTCTTCTCCTCCATAGAAACAGAAGGATGGAGAGAAACAAGAACTAGAAAGGAAGTGAACTGCACCTGGGAGTGTTTGGAGACCCAGTGACGCAGTACATTCAGAACTCTGTTCGTGGCAGCTCTTCTGATGACAAACTCTTTGTCCCCATTTCTCTGGTCTGTGGGGAAACCTGAAACCAAAGCAACACTGATCGTTATTTGAAATAGTTATTTCTTTCACAAGTTCATATTTTGCTTCTAAATACAGAAAACTACTGGTCAAACATCCTTTTTAAAAATGTAAATATACACTTGGCCTGAGCTTTTTCTGTGGCCCTGATCATAATTATATGAGCAGCCACCTCATTCCTCAAGCTTAGACTCTTGATGAGCAGGGTTCTTCAATGTACTTTAACAGAATGATACAGATATTGAAACTAACAGCATTTGGTACAGCAGAAATTTAAACTTTGTCATGTCCCCCCCTCTTAAAAAAATAGTTTTTAAACTCAGTAGTTGTTAAAATGTCATTATATGTGAAAAACAACAGCCACGACCTAATGAATGAAAGAATGAAAAAACTATATAACTAAACTGTAAAAAGTATGAATATAAAACATGTTCAACATGAAAGTCAACATCACTGAGACAGATGTTTAAATGAATAAAATGAACGAGCTGTGGTGTAATTTGTTTGGGGCCCTCTGGTGGTCATCAGACACTAAGCTGCTTACGCTTTCAACCAATAATATCAGTTGATCTCTGACACAATCTAAATGCCTTTTTCCCCAGAGGTGTTGGTACATAATCCAACCCAAATTAAACTTTTTCAGGAGTCATCCGTGATTTGATGGCTGAGCATTTTTTGTGTATATCACTCTAGATGCTGTTTGTGTAACCAGGTCACAGTCGGTCCCTTTTAAATTCCTCAGTATCTAACTGAGAGGACAAAGGACTTCGTGTGACTGACCTGTGCTGGCGAGAGACATACGCCGGTACTTCTCCTTGGTTGGGGTGCCTTCATTGGCACCGGCGGTTGCAATGGCGAAGGCTGAGGCGGCAGAAAGGGCACTGCGGTTGTTGTCCAGCTCCCGGCAGGATGACACCACCATGCCATTGTTGAAGGAAAACAGAGAGAACTCTGCAGGGAAGAGATTTATACGAGTTATTACATAAAGGTTAAAGGACAGTTCCTCTAAATTCTGAGCATTTCAAACAATGTGAAAGACATCAAGATGACAGCATATACTGTGCTTCTTACGCAATTAGGGTAAAGGGGAAATTGATTAGGTGATTACAGCTGATTTGATCCCCTCTGTGAAGCGCTGTGGGCACACACGTGTATAATCAAAGTTAGTTGTCGACCAGTGGAGGGCAACAGAGAGCTGAAACAGTGCATCCTGCAGCTTGTGGCAGTGACGGCGTACACTCCGCTGTGTCTGCCTCCCTCCTTTTACTGCCTCCCTCCCTTCCTCCTGCCTTCCTCCGTTCAGCCGGGGGCGGTATAGAAGAACACGCACATCGTTGCTAAGGTACAAGGTTTCCTTCCACCTACTCACACAAGGCACTGGCTTCCCTTGTATCCAGCACCGTGGGAAGAGAACACACTGGGGATGAATTGTGCTTGACTACCTACGGGGTGGATGCTCCCTCTCTGTGCGGTATGGGGAGGGCCAAGAGTCTGTGGGTGGTATTTATCAAGACCTTATTTGGCTATTTCTATGCTTGTCGTCTTCCGAAAAAAAAAAAAAAAGTTTGCTATAAGTCTGCTGCAGCTATATTTATTTACCTCTATGAATTGCTCCTCTCATCTCAACCTTTCCACACTTCTCACATGCACAATCTGACTGTACAGTGCTCATCTTTTTTAGACTGGATGGTAAAAATATCTTATGGTGCCTTAGGTACCGACATCGAGCAAAAACCTGATTTGGACCTAAAATGTACATTTCTGCACTGCTTGATTAAGCCTTAGTATGAAATGTCCTTGATCATCAAGCAATAATGGCAGCTGATTGATCATGTGCTCAGTTGTTTAAATAGTTACGTATCAGTGGCTTATGAGGTCATAAGGAAACATTAGGTGGTAAATGAAAGGAAAAACACTAGAGCCCACCAGTGAGGTGATCAGACGGCTCTGTTGTGCTGAAAGGGGGTATCTGGTTTGGCATTTGTCCCCTCAGAGAGAGAAAAAAGCTCAGTGCAAATCTATACTTTATTCTATATTTCAATCCTGATTGGAGTGGCATCTTTTAGAAAGACGGTGTCCTCATCTATAGGGGTCACTGAATGGTTTGATGGAAACAGTGTTTATCATGCGCTATGGCCTCTGCCGTCACCAGATCTCAAGCCAACTGACCACCTATGTTAGATTTTGGATCAACAGCGACCTCCAGCACCATCATCAAAACACCGAATGAGGAAAATATCTTTTGGAAGAATGGTGTTCCAGAAAGTAATTGACAAATTACACTGAAGCTGCTTTAGGGGCAACACATTGCTATGACTTTTATTTTCCTTTAATTTGTCACCTGTCTGTAGTTTGACATTTAACTTTTGCTGTGATCTAGAGGACAGGATTGATGGAAGGGGGAAACAGCTAGATGGTTCTGCCCAAAAGTGACAAAACCTGCAGAAGTTTATTAAATAAGAAAAGTGTGTGCAACAAGGTTTTTGCTCAACTATTTCATTTCTGGCATTTAATCCACCACAATAGCTTTGGTACAGATGAAACAAACAAGCTGTAAATGTGAAGTTACACTCTTACTGTACTATTACTTAAGGATAAATTATTCTGTGTGGCCCCTTTTGACGCTGAAACATCACGGCTAACTGCAATCTGAATGCCAGCCGGTGTTCTGCTGGACAATTGCTCTTTTTATTTTCATTGTATCCCACTGTATTCAATTTATCCATCCGTTTGACTGCTCATTTAATATTATTAGGTTTTCTGACAAGTGAAGTCAAGCAGTCTGCCAGTTGGAATTATTCATTCAAGCGGTCATAGAGGATGTAACATATGAACAGTGGGCCTGTTGATTTTTTTTATTGACATGATGTATTATTATTGATTTTATTTTGTCATATTTTCATTTGCCAAGACGCTCCACTGGCAAGCACTGTATGTCAGCAGCACTAACCACTAAGCTACTGTAATTTGCCAGCTCTTACGTTCTTGCCAAGTCATTTGTCTTTTTAACTGGTGGGCTGGGATTTAAAAGTAGATCACAAGATGTTCTAAACAAGACATATAACAGCTTCAGTGGCTTAAAGGGGGTCTCAACACAATAGGAGGGAGAGAGAGTCATAACTGTACCAGAGTTTTTTGACTTGACGTTCTTGGGTGTTGACGGCGACTTGGGAGGAGACATTTCTGCTTCGGCGTCGTCGCTCTGACTTGGGTCTTCATCGCACTCTTCTCTTACAGACAGATCTAGACAGAAAGAATATGTCGCAGTCATGGGAAAAGAAAAAAATGTGACATGGGGGGCATAAGATATGCAATGGAAATGGAAAAATTGGGAAACAAAATAAAGTTGAGCTGTATATGAAGTTGTTATCGAAAATAAAAGTTAGATAATAAATTTTAAAAAAACTGACATGATCACTACTTTTTTCATTGCAAACTTATGATTGCACATTTACAAGCACATTCTTCAAATGGGACTCTGTTGGCTGCTCCTTTACTGCTTAATCCTAAGGGATGCTGCTTCAAAAAACAGATAACAACCCAAAATATATATGAGTAACATTTTTTTAAAAAAGCATAATGCAGAGGAAACTGAGTTGTAAAACTGCTACCAAAGTAAACCCCATTAATCCCTTGGACAGTGGCTCTGACCTTGCTTGTTGAGGACAGACTCGTCGGTCTTGCCTTCGGTTTTGGAATCTCCCTCATCAGAGATTTTGCTGGCCATGGTGCTCGACACGTAGAGCTTGTTGATGTCAAGGGTGGTCTTACTGAAGGGTGACATGGTGGAGTGCATGCTTGCATAGCCATTGGGAGAACAGCTGAGTGCGGCCAGGTCCAGGGCCTTGCCCCCTGTGATGATGGGGATGTTGAGCGAAAGTTTGCGACGGCGGTTGGGAGAGGACGTCTTGGTGATGGAGAGGGGAGGAGGGGAGGAGAACTTGCGGCTGGCACGTGGCGACGTGGGTGGCTCGCCGTAGAGGAGTTTGTTGTTCTGGCTGCTGGCGAAGAAAAGCTCCAAAGAGCTGCAGGAAAGGAGAAAGTGAAAGAAAAGACAAAAAGGAGGCACATGTGAGAAAAAGACAGAAGGATGAAGAGTAAGTCGAGTATCTTTCTCCACTGAAATGCAACTCTTTTTGAGTTTTGGATTAAAACAATCCTGCAAGCCAAATAGCAGGCAGTGGAAAAGGGGAGAAATGGTGATAATGGGGGGGGAATGGGGTATTTGGTGTCTGTACACAGAAACAGAGAGGGAACACATTAACCACAGGGCTCTTCGGGAGCTCCTGCCTCTTTTATTTAAGCTACATTGTTTAAGACAGCATCCTCCTTGCACTGAGAGCCACCCCCTCTGAAGGCCTATAAATAGCATGTCAAGTGACAGTGTGGGAGGCACGGGTGCTGCCAACAGCAACCAGCCCAGGGGAGGCCCACAGAGACATGGGGAGAAAGAAACAGAGAGAAAAGGGGAGCCAGATAGAGTCAGAGAGGGAAAGTGGGAGAAGGAGACAGAGGTGCAATGTAAAAAAAAAAAAAAAAAAAAGCAGGGGCGAAAACAGTGATACGGATAGGGAGGGGGCGAGAGAGGACCAACATAGTGGATATGGATTCCACCACAGCGAAGGCTGCTGGCTGAGAGTGGGCGAATGGGAAGCCTCCAGCCCTGTATGGCGTTAGCTGCAGCCATGTTGTGTCTCCTCGACTAAATTCACAAAACAATAAAGTAAGGAGATGAGAGGAACAAAGATGGGAAAGGGGGAGGCTGGGTGGATGTACGAAAGGAGATGGGGGAGAAGGAGAGAAAGGGGAGGGAAAAAGGAAAATGTGGAAAAACAAAACACAGCAAGCAAAGTGGAGAGTCAGGAGAGGACACAAGTAAAGCAGGAAACAGGAACGACAAGAGGAGATATTTAAGCAGGAGATGAGAGAGGAGTACGACAAAGAGGAGGACGGAGGAGAAGAGGAGAGGAGAGCAGAGGAGAGGAGAGGAGAGTTAAGCAGGAGATGAGAGAGGAGTACGACAAAGAGGAGGACGGAGGAGAAGAGGAGAGGAGAGCAGGGTCTGGGTGCAAAACACCACCATCAATATTTAATACCGTAGAGCCGCTGCAGATGATGGGAGAAAGGGAGAGAGAGAGAGAGAGAGAGAGAGAGAGAGAGAGAGAGAGAG